AATTATTGGAAAGAAAAACGTAAATGCAAACGCATATGAATAACCAAAATCGCTTATATCAAAGGATTTAAGGATTAACCATTATCTTACCTTGGATCCCCAATTGGTGTTAAGCTCGTAGTTACATCCTGCTACATTATGTGCCAATGCCAAAACATCTTGGGCTTTGATGGACTTATCGGCAATCCAATTTGGTCCAAGTTCATCTATCTCAGGCTTAGATGGAGGCCCATAGAAAACCCGACGATTGAAAAAACAACCAGTTCCCATGTAAATTGGGCCCATTAGTCCATCATACCCAATCGTATTGATGTCAAAGGGTCGTTTGAGCTCGGATGCATATATATCATTTTTGTTTATTCCTTGAAATTTTTGAGGAAACTGCACAAATCCTAAACCGGAATTGATCTTAGGATCTGATAAATAGCATAAAGCACGAACCGGTGTTGTGGGATCATTTGAGTACATGTCACAATCTAGTGTTAAAATGATTGGTGAGTTTGTCATCACCGATGATACTCGTAACTACAACGAAAGTAAAACTCTTCGTTAATGAAATATATTAAAACCAAATTAATGCTAGTTAACCAAACATAAAATCTTTAAGGTATGATTAAGTTGTTACCAAGGTATTAAGAGCACCAGCTTTGAAATGATGTGATGAAACTTTACTCTTCTCTCTTGAAACATAGATTAGGTTTGGCATTATCTCTGTCTCGTTAGATTGTAGCACCTACCCACGAATTTATACAAAAATGAGATCTTATTATAAAACTCATGTGTCATATGATATATAATTTTGATTAGTACCTTAGTAATTGTAGGATGGTCATTAAGAGTGAATTTGTGATCCCACAAATCGAAGACTTCAGGAAATTGAATAGATTTGATTGATTGACTATCAACTTTGCCACAATCCACCACATGTTCTACTCTCTTTTTCATATCTTCGTACATCCCCTGTGTTCACAGTACAATGATTATTATTTAGGACATAACTCTTTTTTGCTTGGTATAACATATATAGGCAAATATTGTGACCAAACAAAAAAAAATATAGACAAATATAGATATTATGATAGACAAACCTAGATATTGCGAGATTATATGATTCCAATAAAAAATTTAAAATTATATAGTATAGATTCATTCATTTTCATTTTTTATGTGAGATATACAAATACGTCCATTCTTTTTCTTCATTTATCTCAGATTGATATTTTTTGTAATCGGTTTTGGATTTTTTATTTACTTATTTGAATATGGATGTGAAGATTAATTTAAGTATGAGAGCTTGTTACGAACATATTTGCTAGAGTTTTTTGGTTTAGTGTTATAGATATATACCTTAAGATTTTGAGTTTCCTCGTCTTTAGGATGAGAATTTGATGAGAAATAAACTTCAGGAGACCGATCTTGAACATTGTTCTTCTTGCAATATGGCAACCAATGCTTAGAGAACTTAGCAGCCTCCATCAAAGCAAACAACGTCAAGGACGATCCTCCATCGTCCGATACGTAGACTGAGATCTTATCCGCCGGATAATCGTAAGTCAACACTGACAAGGCGGTGTTGGCCACCATCAACGGAGGCTCCTTGTAAGGATCAGCCGTGCATATAAACACGTCCAGCTTGGGAAAATTTTCCGGTTTAGATTCATATCTCTCAGGATACTCAGTCCGGTGAACCGGGTTTAACCGGAGGGATGTTGTGGTGGCCCACAAGAAGGCGAGAATGATATCAGAGAGGAGAAGAAGAGAAGTTATTAGAGTAGAGCTTCTTCTTGTGACAAGTGAGTGTGCATGGTGATACATGAGGGCTATGATGCCACACGTGTGAACCACCGCATAGATTCGGTAGAGAGTGGTGCGCCGGCACGGATGACACGTGTGGAGGCTTGTCGAGTGTTTTCTCCGAGGCTCCATTTTTTATTTATAATGAAATCAAATGGTTTTGGAGAAATTAGTGATATTTATAGGCGAGTTTCTTAGG